GGGGGGGGTGGTTCTGGTCCATGTAAAGACATCCATGAAAACACTATTGCACTCTTGGTATAGTAGCCTAGTTTCCTTCCCCCCTGCTGGTGTGCCTGGGTTCGAACCCTGATAGTAACGTAGTTAGGCTATTTTATTATATTTATTGACTAGTCTTTCAATTATTTATTTATTTATTATTTGGGCCGATGCTTTTGGGCTTTGTTTGCCCCAGTAATAAAGTGCCCCGTGGAGTGGCGATATCGCCCCGCTTGAAGGTGGGCACAGTATTAAAGGCAGGGTAACTCGGGGGTCGATTAGCGTACGACGACCGATGGTCGTGACTAGTGTGTGTGCAAGGAAGGAGGTGAGGCAGTGCAAAAAAAGAAGAGGGGGGGCGCCGGTGGCCACCGGAGTGGCGGGAAGGGCGCTGACCGGCGCGGATGCCGCCCGGGGCCGAGGCTCCTCGGGGGCGCCCCCTAGCGTCCCGGCAGCTTGGCCGAGCGCCCTTGGTGGCGGCTGGTCGTGGCGCATGGTGGGAGCGCGAGGGCTCGATGGCGTGCACGTCAGTCGCCCCTCGGGGCACGCCTGCGTGTCTGTCTCGCTGTGTTGCTTGCGGAGGTTGACGGGGGTCTCGGGCACGTGGAGCTTGGTGGCTGGATGGCGTGGTTGAGGTAGTTACACGACAGGACAACGTGAGACCCATGTCTGGTTGGATTTGATTCCGTCTTGATACTATACACGTGGAGGGCATAGGGGATCCTCCAATAGTATAAAAGGGGGGGGGGGGGGGGGGGGTCTGGTCCATGTAAAGACATCCATGAAGACACGATTGCAGTCCTAGTCTAGTGGCCTGAGCTCCTTCCCCCCTACTACTGTGCCTGGGTTAAAATCCTGGTGGTAACCTAGTTAAGCTATTTTTTGGATCAAATGGAAGGGGGAACCCGAAGTAGATAATTACATACTACCATTGGTGCCAAGACGGAACTCCTAACATATCATCCTCTAACATATCTAATATTTCAGGATAGGACATTGTAGTATATGTGTTCCTCTTCCAAACTCACCAGCTTTACAAGCAAGAACATCTCTCGCTTTATTTTGTTCCCAGGCAACACATTCTATCTTCCAGTTCGCCAGGCTACCTGCTTCCTGCTTGCAAGCAATCAGTATGTAGAGGAGGATGGTGACTTTGACCTCTTGAGATGGTGGATGGTTGATGCTGGAAGATTCCATGTGTTGTCTAAATTGGCAAGGGATATACTTGTTATTCTCATTTCTACAGTTGCATCATAATCAACCTTTAGTACTAGTGGGAGACTTCTTGATGCATTTAGGAGTTCTCTTACTCCTAAAATTGTTGAGGCACTGATTTGTGCACAAGATTGGCTAAGGTTGGCCAATCAACCACTCAAAGTTGAAGAAAACATAGATGAAGTTGAGAAATTTGAAAAAGTTAAACTCCTAAACTATAACTTTACTTTTTTTTTTTTTTTTTTTTAGTTTTTATTTTTTTTTTTTCAGTTTCAGTGTTTCACATTTGTTACATATACAATTGTAATTGTTTTTTGCAGAGTTGTGCAGTGGATGAATTGGAGTTAATACTGGAGTTGGTTCTCTGCCCACAATACCTGTAATGTTATTTTACTTATTTCATTCTAAATTTTCTTAGATTTGTTTGACTACTTGTCTAGTTGCCTGCTTGCCTGGAAGTTTGGTGAGTAATGGAACATTGGATCTGGTTCTGGAATTTTAGAACCTGATGCCTCCATGGCTGGAAGGTTTAGTGCCTCAATGGCTAAGAACTGCCCCAGGTTTGAGGTTTCAGTATGGCTGTAAGCCTGTAATGCAGGAACTCTGTAACTCTGTAAGTATAAATTTTCTTCAAGCACTCAATGAGTCAAATGATGTCTGATATATCTCTCAATATCTATCTCTATCTCTCATTCTCTCTTTGATGCTTGTAAAAGACTAACTGTGCAAATGTGAAATGATAATGCTTCCACCATGTTCTCTAAAATCTGGGATTTAGGGATTGAGTTTGGTATGTTTCCATGAACTGTGGTCAATCTACAACTCATAGGCAATTTGCCCCCAATCCTAACATGATTTATAAATAAGCAGTCTGAGCATCATTTGTCCCAATCATAAGTCATAACATGATTCTTAAATCACTTATCTCAGTTATCTCATTTATGTTTTAACTTTTATGTTTTGTTACTATTTAGTATTCACAATTCTCAAGTTTACATACTTTCTTACCTTTTAATTTTATTCAGGAAGAGGAATAGAGTATTAGTTGGTATGTTGATTAGTAGATAGCAGATTAGGGCTTAGGTTGTGGACCTATGCAGACTGCAGTTGTGTCATGTGCTGATGTTCTTTGTATTTTCACTCAAATACTCAATACTGTGCTTTTGTAATTACTAATTAACCATTTAAGCTGTAATTTGATAATTCGGTAATTTGGTTTACTTCTATTTCAGTATTTTGTATTTTTGTATAAATGTTGTTTTAGTGCTTTTGACTTTTGATGTATGATTGTATGTTAGTACTTAATAATTAGTAGTTTAGTACTATCTATTTAGAAATTTGTAGTTTTTTAAAAAAAAAATTCGAAATTATACTCAAATAAACTATTTTTTTATATAAAAAAAATATTCAATTTTGCTGTTTATTAAATATTCACAAATATCCGACTAAACCGACGGATATTCGGATTGGATTTATTAAATTATTTATCCGGCGAATTTCTTAAAAAAACGGATTGGGGGTAAGAATACACATCCGCTATCCGTTCGGATGAGCCTCCGACTATCTGATCAGTACAAAACCCGTCCGTGCACACCTCTATTTTCAGTTATAAAATTATGTGTTTCCAGGTATAAAATTATGTGTTTTCAAGTATAAAATTCTGTGCATTCTATTATATAATTCTATACATTTTAAACATGGATTTTTTGTAAAGAGTTAAGAGTTTGTGTATTATGTTAAGAGTTTATGTGTATTATGTTAAGAGTTTATGTATATTATGTATTATGTTAGATTATGTGCATTCATTTATAAAATTCTGTGTATTCTATTATACAATTTTTTACATTCGAAACATGAGCTTTTGTATAAATAGTGGTGCAAATCCACTTCCCAAACCAATGTAGGACGAAAGCTACATTTTTCCCTTCATTTTTCCAACTCAAAATGGTCTACTTTGAGAATCAATATCTCATTCAACCATTATCCGTTTTGAGCGTACAATATATCAATCACTTCGTCTCATTACGAAGAATCCAAATCCACTTTGATCCGACCCAAACCAGAAGTGGACTCCACTGATAATTGTACCACAAAATAGCCCCTTAATATGCCATTTATGCCATTTTTTCCAACAATCCCCCACATGAATGAAAAATTGATTTTCAGGGTATTTTGATATCGGAAACAACTGTGTTCAACGGTCGATCCCTGCATAGGATAGGTAGATGTTACCCTTTGAACCTTCCCTCGTGAAGATACATTTACTCTACTGGTTGTACGGTAGAACGCGATGTCTTTGAACCGACTGTTGTTTGTGTAGACGATGACATATCTCACACATGAACCTCCTAACCACGCTCTGTTCTCATATATGTGCCCATTTTGTTCGTGGATCACCATTCCTGGTTCTGCAAGAGTTTGTGAAGAATTGAACCCTATTCAATTCTCCTTTGAAGCTACTCTCACTTTTCTCTCACATAGGTGATTCTTTTCCGAGTATCCCGCATACTCACACATGTCAACCGACATTCAAATCATTAAAGCATCAATGTGCTAACCTCGTACGGGAATCATTGTTCTAACAAGGAGTGGTAGTAGGGATAGCAATGGGTCGGGGAGAGCTACTTCCATCACCTGACCCACCTTATATTTTCTCCACCCACCTCCACCTCCAACCTGTATAAGGTGGACTCTTTCAAAACCCACCCCAACCCCACCGGGTGCGGGTGCCCACTATGGGTACCCACTACTCATGATCTTATTATTTTTTTATACAAATAATATTTAAATTACTTATACATAATGAAATAATAAAATTCATTAGTTATACTAAAACATATAACAATAGAAATATTCAAATATAATAACTAAATTGTTAATATTTAAAAATAAACTTAGTAGTTTAGATATAAAATAATAAAAAGTTACCCAAAGTTTTTTTTTTTTTTTTTTTTTTGATGTAGTTACCCAAAGTTATTGAAACTTTTATAATTCACTTTTTACTAGTACAATTTATTTTACTATTATATATATATATATATATATATATATATATATATATATATATATAGTAAATTACACTTTTGGTCCAATGACTATTGTGGTGTTGTTAATTTCAGTCCATGAGTTTCAAAATTGTCAATTTGGTACCGTAACTATTCAATTTTTCTCAATTTCAGTCCTTCCGACCAAATTGCCGGCAAAAAGTGACCGGAAAATGTTAATGGGTTAAATAATGAGGCCAATTTTGTCTTTTCACCCCTCTTCTCATTCTTCCCCGCCGATCGATCGCCTCAGCTGTCGCAAACCACCGTCTCCTCTACCGTCGCGACTTCATCTGCAATTTTAATTGTGTAAACCACCACCTCCTCCACCATCATAATTCACCTTCTGCCACCACCAAAAGCTTCACCACCGCCTCCTCCACCGTCGCTGTCAGCAGCAAGAACCAGTGATAGCTCAACACTCCAGGTTCAAGAAGTCTAAAATCAGCAGTGCTGCTCTATTAATTTTGCTATTGTAAATATCTTCCTATTTTTACGCATAATCTGTTCATAGCAGTTGCATCATCCTCCATCTATAAATAAGGATCAACTGCCTCTGTAATAAGAACTTGATTCATCACATTCTCTACATGAAATATTTCTCTTTTCTCTTTCTGCACCTGTTTACCTTCTTCTCCCTTTTTTTCTATTGTGCTCCGGTGTGCCGCTGCTCTGAAATTGACATGGTATCAGAGCCTTGCTCTAGAGTACGAGCTTGGATCAATGGCGTGGCCTCCTCCAAATGCTAATTCTGCACGAACACAAGCTCCACCGCCAGTAGTTCCTGCTATGGCAATTGGATCAGTTCCGGCGGCGACTTCGACGGCGGCTCCGACGGCAGCAAATGCAAACAGTAATACTCAGGTTTCGATCATTGATTTTAATCCCTCCGATGCAGGTAATCCTTACTACTTGCATCCTAGTGAGAGTCCGGCCTTGGTGCTTGTTTCGCCGACCTTAGATGGTTCAAACTACTATCCTTGGGCAAGAGCTATGAAGATAGCTCTATCAACCAAAAATAAACTAGCATTTATTGATGGTAGAATACCTATACCTAGCAAAGATGAACAAAGGTACATGGTTTGGGAACGGTGTAATAACATAGTTGTTTCCTGGATTGTAAGATCCATCTCACCTGAGATTGCACAGAGTGTGCTTTGGTTACAATCTGCCATTGCTATATGGAAGCATTTAGAGGAGAGGTTCAGTGAGGGGGATATCTTTAGGATCTCACAGATTCAAGGACAAGCTTATCAGCTTAAACAGGGGATTTTAAGTGTGGATCAATATTTCACACAGATGAAATTGCTTTGGGATGAATTACTTGTGTTAAGACCTTTGCCTGTGTGTGCTTGTACTCCTAAGTGCAATTGTGGAGGATATGAGAAGTTCTACACTTATGTAGAAAATGATCATTTGTCAATGTTTTTGAGAGGATTGAATGAAAACTATACAAGTACTAAATCGCAAATTATGTTGATGAGCCCTCTCCCTACAGTTGGAAGGGCATCTTCCTTGGTGAAACAGCAAGAAAGAGAGGTTTATGGTGGGATTCTCAGTGCTACTCCCACACCACAGATGCAGGGGCCTTCTCAGCAGATGAGTCCTACTGTTGGACATGCATTCCTGGCTAGTTTTCCTCAGAACAACAACTTCCGTCCAAGAAGACAGAATAACAATTGGAACAAGAAACCAGGACCAATTTGCAGCCATTGTGGATATACTGGCCACACAGTGGATAAATGTTACAAACTCCATGGTTACCCGCCGGGTTATGTACCCAGGTCTAAAGGTGCAGGAGCAGTAAACCAAGTCCAAGGTCCTTTGCTGCAATCCAGTGTCACACAATTTGGAGGTCAGAACCAATTTCAATCCCAAGGCTTTGTTGAACAAATCCAAAACACTGCAGGGAATTTTATGACAATTTCTCAAGAGGAATATAGTAGGTTGCTTGGCCCTAAGCAGAATGAGACAAAGCAGAATACAGTCAATACACCTCTTGATTTCACTCCTCAAGCAAATATAGTTTCGGCCAGTGTTGTCTCACCTGCAAACTTTGAAGGAGCCTTCTTGTTCTAAAACCATTTGGATTCTTGACACTGGTGCTACACACCATATTGTCTGCAGTATAGATCTTTTGTCTGATGTTAGAAGCACAACTGGTATGCATGTTGCATTGCCCAATGGTCAACAGGCACATATAACCCATGTTGGTACAGTTTTTCTATCTGATGACATTGTGTTGGAGAATGTTCTTTGTGTGCCTGTATTTCAATATAATTTGATTTCTGTCAGTGAGCTGGTCAAGAATTTCAAGTACAGTATATCCTTCCGATCTGACAAGTGTGTTATACAGGATCTGGACTGTGGGAAGACGATTGGGACAGCTAGAATTAATGGAGGCTTATATCATTTGTGTTTGTCAACTTCTACAACTCCTTCTTGCATGATTGTGAATAAGAGCAGTATTAGTCTGAATAATGTTTGGCATGCTAGACTTGGACATGCTTCTAATAACAAGATTAAGCTCTTGAAAGTGTTAAATCGTGATATTACTGTCAGTGATGATTTTGTATGTGACTGTTGCCATTTGGCCAAACAAAAGAGGTTACCTTTTGGAGTTAGTAAATCATACACAACTGCTTGTTTTGAACTTGTTCATTTTGACATTTGGGGGAGTTATGCTGTTCCCACAATATATGGCCATCATTATTTTTTAACAGTAGTTGATGATTATAGTAGAGCCACTTGGATCTACTTAATGAAAGGAAAACATGAAGCAAGAAAATTGGTTCAAGCTTTTTGCATTCTAAAACAAACACAGTTTGGAAAATCCATTAAAATTGTTAGAACAGATAATGGGAAGGAGTTTGATATGCCAGAATTTTATCAAGACAGAGGAATAATTCATCAGAGATCATGTGTCTATACCCCGCAACAAAACAGCATAGTTGAGAGAAAACATGGTCATATCCTGTCCATAGCAAGAGCTTTGAAATTTCAGGCTAGCCTTCCTGATCCTTTTTGGGGTGATTGTGTTATGCAAGCTGTTCATATAATTAATAGACTACCTTCTGCAGCATTACAAGGCCAAGTTCCTTATCAATTGTTATTCTCAAAGGCTCCTCAATATGGGCATCTCAAAGTTTTTGGTTGCTTAGCTTTTGCTGCTGTACATGGGGTTCATATGACCAAATTTGCTCCAAGAGCAAGAAAGTGTGTGTTCATTGGCTATACAGGTGACTTTAAAGGGTACAAGCTGTATGATCTGAAGACAAGGGAAGTATTTATCTCTAGAGATGTGTCCTTCTATGAAGGTGTTTTCCCCTTTTCTCAAACCAAAGATGAAGAACTCATTGTCTCTGTACCGGTGTTACCTGCTGACAATACTATTTGTCCCGAAGAACCTGATCAGTTAGAGAATTCATATCAGAATGATATGCCACAGTTTGCGGATACTTACGATGGGGCAGAACCTCTTGTAGAGTCCCAGCACCAATCTAGAAGATCTAGTAGAGAAAAAAGCAGGCCAGCTTACTTAAATGATTATGTGTGTGCAGATAATATTCCCAGAACCAAGAGAACTTCTCCTCATTCTCTCTCGGCTGTTTTGGATTATGGCAGGTTGTCTACAAAACATAAGGCCTTTGCTGTCAATGTGTTGACAATTAAGGAACCTACTACATATGCAGAAGCAGTAAAGCATGAGTGTTGGAGACAAGCTATGGCAGCTGAATCTGCAGCATTGCAAGCTAATCATACTTGGATGTTAACTGATCTTCCTGCCTCTAAACAACCAATTGGCTGCAAATGGGTTTTCAAAGTTAAGCATAGAGCGGACGGATCTGTGGAGAGGTATAAAGCTCGATTGGTAGCAAAGGGGTACACTCAAACTCCTGGGCTTGATTACCTAGATACTTTTAGCCCAGTAGTAAAAATCACCACTATTAGAGTATTACTTGCTTGTGCAGCTGCTAAAGGTTGGGAATTACATCAGCTTGATGTGAACAATGCTTTCCTACATGGTGATCTACATGAGGAAGTTTATATGGCTTTGCCTCCTAGGTTTACTCCACAAAGGCCTGGACAAGTGTGTAAGCTTCTCAAATCATTATATGGACTTAAACAAGCTAGTAGACAATGGAATGCAAAACTTACGACTGAGTTGTTAAGCATGGGTTTTAAACAGACTACGGCTGACCACTCCTTGTTTACCAGGGGTACTGGAGCCTCCTTTGTTGCATTACTCGTCTATGTTGATGATGTGGTTGTTGCTAGTAGTGATAGAACTCAAATCATGGATATCAAGTCCCATTTACATGCTAAGTTCCAGATTAAAGACTTGGGACACCTAAAGTATTTTTTGGGGTTGGAAGTGGCCAGAAACAGGTTTGGAATAAGTGTTTGTCAGTGAAAATATGTTTTGGAACTTTTAGAGCAGGCTGGTTTCATTGACAGTAAGCCAGTCAATAGTCCTATGGTGCCTTCCACTAAGCTCACTCATAGTGACAGTCCTTCTTTGAAAGATGTCACTTCATACAGGAGGATCATAGGTAAACTGTTATATCTTACTATTACTAGGCCGGACATCTCTTTCGCAACACAACAACTCTCTCAATTCTTGGATTGCCCCACTGAATTTCATCTAAGAGCTGCACATAGAGTTCTTAGATATCTCAAGGCATCACCTGGGCAGGGGCTGTTCTTCTCTGCCAATTCAACTCTTCATCTTAAGGGGTTTACTGACTCAGATTGGGCTTCTTGTCCTGAGACTAGGAAATCAGTAACAGGCTATTGCATGTTTCTGGATAATGCCTTAGTATCTTGGAAATCCAAGAAACAAAACACAGTTTCCAGGTCCTCTAGTGAAGCAGAGTATAGAGCCATTGCTACTGCTACGGCTGAGCTTCAATGGCTTACTTATTTATTAACAGAGTTTGAAGTTCACTCTTCTACACCCGCTGTGTTGTATTCTGATAGTCAGTCTGCTATAGCCATATCCCAAAATCCGGTGTTTCATGAACGCACGAAACATATTGAAATAGATTGTCACTTCGTAAGGGAAAAATTACAAAAGAACTTGCTGAAATTACTCCATGTTCCCACTGCACATCAATTGGCAGATGTTTTCACAAAGCCTCATGCTCCTGCTTCTCTCCAAGGTTTCGTCTCCAAGCTTGGTCTATACAATATGTATAGTCCAGCTTGCGGGGGGGTGTCAGCAGCAAGAACCAGTGATAGCTCAACACTCCAGGTTCAAGAAGTCTAAAATCAGCAGTGCTGTTCTATTAATTTTGCTATTGTAAATATCTTCCTATTTTTACGCATAATCTGTTCATAGCAGTTGCATCATCCTCCATCTATAAATAAGGATCAACTGCCTCTGTAATAAGAACTTGATTCATCACATTCTCTACATGAAATATTTCTCTTTTCTCTTTCTGCACCTGTTTACCTTCTTCTCCCTTTTTTTCTATTGTGCTCCGGTGTGCCGCTGCTCTGAAATTGACAGTCGCGGCCTCAATCAAAAGTTTTTTAAAAAGTCAAATAATAGCAGAGTGAGTCGAGGACTTTTGACTGATGAATCGTGAATTTTTCTCTCATATTCATTTTGTATGCGTTCGTTAATGAGAGAGAATACAGCCTAGTATTTTGTAAGAGGTGAGGAGAGATAAACGGTTGAGTGTTCGATTTATTTGCTATGCTTACAATTTTGAGTCATGCTAAGAAAAGGGTGACCCAAAGAGAATTAGTTTACAAGCTGCTCTGGTGAAGTGTTTCATTGGGAAGCTTTTGATGATGGCAGAAGGTGAATTACGACAGTGGAGGAGGCGATGGTTTGCACAATTAAAATTGCAGATGAAGGCCGCGATGGTGGAGGAGACCGTGGTTTGCGATGCTGAGGCGATCGGAGAATGTTTCTGCGTGGAAGAACGAGAAGAGGAAGTGAAAAGAGAAAATTGCCCTCATTATTTAACTCATTAACATTTTCCGGTCACTTTTCACGACAATTTGGCCGGAAGGACTGAAATTGAGAAAAATTGAATAGTTACGGTACCAAATTGACAATTTTGAAACTCATGGACTGAAATTAACAATGCCTCAATAGTCATTGGACCAAAAGTGTAATTTACTATATATATATATATATATATATATATATATATATATATATATATATATATATATATACACACACACACATGGTGGGTCGGATGGGGTTCTAGGTGGGTTTTGTACAGAGAACCCGAATCCAACCCTACCCACCGTTGGTTCACTTTTTTAAGACCCACCTCCGACTCACCACCCACTATCACCCCCAAAAAACCCGATCCATGCGGGGTGGATATCTGCGGGGCGGATTGAAATTGTCATCCCTAAGTGGTAGGGAGTCTAAGACCCCCACAGTGACATGCTTCCGTTCCATAATTTAGTTGTCCCATTGAACCTAGGTGCCAGCTAGGTTGGGTATCCACTATAGAACTTTTTAGTCCAAGGGCTTTAGACGCATTCCTTGTGTCAGCTTCTCCACAACTTCTTTGACTAACCCTTTGATTAGCGGATCCGTTATTTTAACACCCCACTTTTCTTAAACCTTATTAACAGACTTAACCTTGAAAGATAAGCTAAGGCAGCGGAATAAACTTACTAAACAACTTAATAGAGGTGTCACCGCCACAAACACCTTTCACGGTGATTGCACAAGCTAAGATTAAACAAGCTAAATCATTCAAGTCTTACTAACATCAAACAAACTAGGGGATAAGACCCCGGTGTCCAGCACCATCAAAACAAAGGGTAAGTCAACTACAAATCTCAAAAACAACCAACATCATGAGTTTAGACTACAACTAGCTATCTATGCTAATCTAGTGTAACTCATACTCTCTCACGAACTAGGTCCACCTGAAAGGGGTTAACAAACAACAAGTAGAACAAACTCGTTAGCACGAAGCTAAGTATAACTCCACTCAATCCTGTAAAGTACTACAGTATATACTTTTGGAAAACAGTTTTCACATACACTTAGATCAAGAATTCTCAAACACTTAGGCAACATTTAAACATGCTCATCAGGG